CTACAGGACTGGGAGCTGTATTACCAGGCTTCAGTGCTCAAATAGCTAAAAGAGTGGATAAATTTGAAGAATAAAAAAATACTGACGATAGAAGGGCATGATTTACAATTGGGAGGGCATGCATTCATATGGTACAGGAAAAGCAAACGACATAGATACTTCCAAAGGCACTATATTAGAAATGCTCTGTTGTCAGTATGGGGAAAAATCAAACAGAATAACTATATGAAAATACCCCCTCTGGCTATTCATGATGGAAGCACTAATATATCCTAATGCTTTAGTTCTGGATAAAATAGTAAGGTACAAAGATATACTAAAAGATCAAGGCAGTGGTGCCTTTGGTTCAGATCGGTTCGCAAGAACCGGTAGTAAAACCGGTGGGAGGCCCCGCCCACCACCCCAGATGACATCATTGGCGATCTGCACATTGGCAGAAGCGAGGTGCGCACACGAGCGTAAAGAGCGAGCGCATGCGATCCTGTTGCAAACTGGTAGTAAAGGTAAGTAGAACCTTTGGAACATGGGGACTTAAAAACTAAACAGGAACTAAAAAAATCAGGGAATTGACTTGGACTGGTAGCCACCTATCCAAATACAAATGAGACATAAGAAAGATATGGAATTATATGGATTTTATAGAGATCCCCAAGAATTGGACAAGATGCTATTAGGGACAGATGAAAAATTAATAAAGAAATTTTATAAATACCTATTGAATTTTAAAATGGAAGAAGAATCTGTAAAGGAAACCATGATAGTATGGGCCAAAAATTTTGGGTACACTATAGATTTAGATAATTGGCAAAAATTGTGGGAAAGAAATTACAAATTAACAATGTCAACAGCATATAAAGGAAACCTGTACAAAATGTTCTATAGAAGGCATTTGCCATCAGCAAGAATGGCAAAAATGTTCCCAAATATGTCACCAGAGTGCTGGAAATTTAAACAGGCACAGGGAACTTACTATCATATGTGGTGGACCTGTTCATCGGCAAAAAAATATTGGTCAAAGATAAAACGGTGGCTAGAAGAGATGACAGCACAACAAATAGATCTAAAACCAGAATTATTCTTATTAGGTATACTACCAAGGAAATACAATAAAAGAACCATATACTTAATGTTACATGTAATAACAGCAGCTGGAATTACATAAGCACAAAAATGGAAAAATGGAAGTACACCTACAGATGAAATGATAATAAATAAAATATTTGAATGTTAAGGTGACCAATTGTCCTCCTTTAGGGAGAACAGTCCTTCCTTTGTAAGTTCTGTCCTCTTTCGAAAAGTGTCCTCCTACATGTCCTCCCTTTTTGATATTTAAAGACTAATCTGTAAATCTCCATATTTGATCAATGCCGATCCAATCCGTTGCATGTGATGTGACGTATTTGTATTTGACATGACGATTTGGCAAGGATCGATACAGTGCAGCGAGACGCGATTATGAGACGCATGCGCTCCGCACAGGAGAATTGTTTTGAGAGAGTGCACCACGCGCAAGTGGCTTTGTTTACTTCTTACCGAAATACGACACGGCACACATGCACCCGTTAGACTCACTTCTTTCTCAGTGAATATTCAATCTTACACAGGTAAGCAACATAATTCACGTTTTATTAATTCATTTATTAATTCTGTATTATTGTTGCAATGAATAAAATGTTTCTTTTATTTATAATTTTTTTTCCTTCAATTTATTTGTGTCCTCCTTCTCATTGTAAAAAAGTTGGTCACCTTATGAATGTGCAATTCTGGACAGGTTAATGTTGCAACTCAAAGATAAAGGGGAAACAGAGTATTACTCAACATGGGACTTATTGTACAAATGGTTAGGTAATAGGTGCAGAGATTAGAAACTTAATAACGAAAGAAGATTAACAAATTAGAAATAAATACAGGTATATAGATTTTATAAGAATATATACTTAAGCAATACTATTATCGGACTGTACGTGACTATCTGTGGTGGATTGCTCCTGGTTCGCACCGGTTCGCAAGAACCGGTAGTAAAAATTTGTAGTAGTTCAGAGAACCGGTAATAACATGGGCTGGCCACGCCCCCAAACCGGTCCCCGGCCCGGTCGCCACTCGCTTACCCCGCCCACCTCATCAGAGGCTTTTTTTTTTTTTTAAACTTTTCAAAGCATTTTTTCTACAACCTCTTTGGCTGAAAAAATGCTTTTAAAAGTAAAAAAAAAAAGCCTCTGATGATCGTGCAGCTCAGCTGGGATCGTCAGAGGCTTCTAAAAGCATTTTTTTCCTGCAACCTCTTAAGGTTGTAGAAAAAATGCTTTTAAAAGTTAAAAAAAAAAAAGGTTCGCCACACCCACACATTTACATTACCCCCCCACCAAGCCACGCCCACAAAATAAGCCATGCCCACAGAACCGGTAGTAAAAAAATTTAGAACCCACCCCTGGTGACAATAGATTAAAACGTATAGAGTGATAAATGTATACGGTTCCTGGAATGCTGAGAGTTATGGTACAACTATGAAAATGATGGATATAACTATGAAGTACCTGCTGGCGCAGCAGACTAATAACCTGTTATTATCATTCAGCTGCCTGCAATTACTGCAAGTTCGAATCTCCCCAGGCTCAAGGTTGACTCAGCCTTCCATCCTTTCTAAGAAATGAGGATCCAGTTTGTGGGGGCAATAAGCTGACTTTGTATAAAATATACAAAAGTATGAAGGCTATTGCTTAACGCATTGTAAACCGCCCTGAGTCTCCGGAGAAGGGCGGCATATAAATAATTTTTTTTTTTTTAAAAAGTACAATATCATGTATTTAAAAGGGAGTATATACTATATGACTAAGAGAATAATGGTTACAATCAGGGCGTATAATACTACGTATATTTAAAAAGGACTTGATACAACCAGAACCCTATTGTTGCAAAACTGAAATAAAAGAAAATGTATAATAAAAACATTTTTTTAAAAAAATTGGTTGCAGTACTCCAGTATGTATGGTCTTGCTAGGGTTTTATAAAGCAGTACTAATATTTCACGTGATTTTGATTCTATGCCTCTGTTTAGGCAACCCAGGATCGTATTAGCTTTTTTGCTGCTGCAGCACATTGCCTGGCTCACATACAGGTAGCCCTCCACAGGGGTGAAATGTAAAATTTGTTACTACCAGTTCTGTGGGCGTGGCTTGGGGGGGGTTAATGTGATTGGGTGGGCGCGGCCAATTTTTTTTTTTGAAAAAAACTTTTCAAAGCATTTTTTCTACAACCTCTTCGGCTGAAGAGGTTGCAGAAAAAAATGCTTTAAAAAGCCTCTGACGATCCCAGCTGAGCTGCACGATCATCAGAGGCTTTTTTTTTTTTTACTGTTTATGTTGTTGGGTGTTTATGTTGTTAACATTTGTTAAGTTACTTTTGACCCCTTTTACGACCTTCCTTGCCAAAGTTGTTAAGCAAATCGCTGCAGTGGATAAATTAGTAACGCGGTTGTTAAACGAATCTGGCTTTCCCATTGACTTTGCTTGTCAGAGGGTCGTAAAATGCAATCACATGACCTTGGGACTCTGCAATGGTCATAAGTTGCCAAGCACTTGAATTTTGATCCCATGTTCATGGGTACCTTTGGTTTTTCCTGCCTAAATGTAAAACTTTGCTTTTCTCCACATTAAAATTCATGTTGTTGGATAAGGCCCATTGTCCAAGTCTGTGAAGATCTTTTTGGATCCTGAGATTATCTTCTGGGGTGTTGGCGATTCCTCCCAGCTTTGTGTCATCTGCAAATTTGATGAGTTCCCCTTCTATTCGCCCATCCAAGTCATTTATGAAGATATTGAAGAGTACTGGACGTAAGACTGAACCTTGTGGTATCCCACTGTTTATTCCCCCCTGTGTCAGGGGTCTCCAACCTTGGCAACTTTAAGCATGGCAGACTTCAACTCCCAGGTTGGAGACCCCTGCCCTATACAGATGTAGTAGCATTAAGGACTACTCCTTGAGTACAGTTTGTCAGCCAGCTACAAATCCATCAGGCGGTGATGCTGTCTATCCTCCATTTCTTAGCTTACCCAGAAATCGGTTGTGGTCTACTGTGTCAAATGCCTTACTGAAGTCTAAGTAGACGATGTCATAGAATGTCATAGTATACGACACTTTGTCATAGAATGAAATAAGATTGGTTTGGAGTGATCTGTTTTTAACAAACCCATGAAAGCTACTGGTTATAACGTCATTTGATGAGTTCTAGTCCTGCCTTCAGCATGAAGGGCATTTGGGTGACTTTGGGCCAGTCACTAGGAGACTGGGAGTTCTAGTGCCAGCTTAGGCAGGAAAGCCAGCTGGGTGACTTTGGGCCTGTCCCTCTCTGAGAACCTCACAGGGATGTGGAGAAAAATAGGAGGAGGAAAATGAGTTGGATATGTTCACTGTCTTGAGATATTTGTAAAAAATAATAGAGGTCAGATGTGTATAAGAGATAGAGATAGATAGACAGACAGACTGACTGACGGACAGATGGATGATGGATCATAGATGGATGGAGGGATGGATGGAGGGATGATAGATAGATAGATAGATAGATAGATAGATAGATAGATAGATAGATAGATATAGATGAGAGAGAGAGAGAGAGAATGAGAGATGTTAATCCAAAGAAAATAAACTTCAAACAAGCACAACAGAAACCATAAGCCTGATCTAAACCCCCCAACTCAGCTTCTTCCAATTGATGGGCTGCTTGGCTGCCCCATTCTGGTGGGGTCTCCCCCCTAAAACAGAGACCCCCCCTCATCCCTCCGGTCCCTCCTAACCCAGAGACCCCCGGGAGCTTCCCCGAATGCTCTGTTGCACAAGAGGGATTTCGACAGGGCTCCTCCAGCCCTCAACCGTCTTCTCCCCCTCCCTGGTCGGTTGGACCCCAAACCCACATTTCCTGAAGTAAGGGGGGGCAGGTGGTGGTGATGGGTGGAAGCCACCTGTTGGAGAGGAAGAGACGGGCTATAAATAGGGCAGCCCCGAGTGGCATCTCCAGCACGACTCAGTTTCCCCCTTGGAGAAGACATCTGAGCAACATGACCACTGCTTGGGCTGTCCTGCTGCTCCTGGGCTTGGCTGCCGCAGCCCCCCAAACACAAGTCCTGACCTACGAGCAGGCCATCGCCTTGGCCGTTGACCTCTACAACCAGCAGAAACCCTCGCAGTTTGTCTTCCGCCTGCTGGAGGCTGAACCCCAGCCAAACTGGGTAAGTCTTGGGGGATTGGGGGGGGGCTCCTGGCCCCATGGGAGGGAGGGGTGGTGGGATCCCAAGGCTTCTACTGCTCCCCACCAGCCATTGGGTTTCCCCTGCCCTGGGGGTCTTTGCATCCTTTTAATATCAGTGGGGCAGAATTTCCTTTTCCTTTCCTTCTTTCCTTTCCTTTCCTTTCCTTTCCTTTCCTTTCCTTTCCTTTCCTTTCCTTTCCTTTCCTTTCCTTCTTTCCTTTCCTTTCCTTTCCTTCATTCCTTCTTTCCTTTCCTTTCCTTTCCTTTCCTTCATTCCTTTCCTTTCCTTTCCTTCCTCTTTCCTTTCATTCCTTCTTTCCTTTCCTTTCCTTTCCTTCCCTTCCCTTCCCTTTCCTCCCTCCACCTTTCTTTCCTCTCTCCATCTTTCCTTCCTTCCCTTTCCTTTCCTCCCATGACCCAAAAGGCCACCACTGTATTGATTTATGTCATTTAGCAATAATATAAAACAATACAGAAGGACTTTTATAATGCTACTGTTAAAGGTAGTATTTAGCTTCCAGCTGCCTGCAATTACTGCGAGTTCAATTCTCACCAGGCTCAAGGTCGACTCAGCCTTCCATCCTTTCTAAGGTGGGTAAAATGAGGACCGGTTTGTGGGGGCAATAAGCTGACTTTGTATAAATATACAAAAGGATGACGGTTATTGCTTAACGCATTGTAAGCCGCCCTGAGTCTCCGGAGAAGGGCGGCATATAAATAAAAAATAAAATTAAAAAAAATGCAAAATTGTGGAGAAATTCACACCGGAGATTGCAATTTTAAAAAATGGCAGTCACAGAATTGCTGCAAAGACTCTTTTTTTCATTGCGTGGAACAATTTGCCTTATTTCCCGAGCAAATCCACTTTCTGCTGAGAAAGCTGCTTGTTTGGAGGAAGGAGTGAAGATTTAAAGTTGCTGCTGGGATTTCCCAAGGCTGAGGCTTTTGTGGAGCAAGAATGGGGGCTTGGGGAAATCCCCTGGGGTTTAATTCGGTCTCCTTTTTCTGTCTCTTTTTTCCTTCGTGCAGGACCCCAACAGCAAAACTGCCCAGGTGCTGAAGTTCTCCGTCAAGGAGACGGTGTGTCCCTCCTCGCAAGGGCAGAACCTGTCCCAGTGCAATTTCAAAGAAGATGGGGTGAGCTTCTCTAGGGCATCCTCGGCTTGTTTTCATTGGCTGCTTTCCTCGGGGTTGGTTGGTGGACGTCCTGCCCACTTCAAAGTTCGAAGCACATCGTGGGGGTCTCAAAGCTGGACCACTCCCTGGTCCCTGTCTGCAATTGTCCATCTAGTTGTGATTGTCAAAGTATAAAAAAGACGCGGAGACTCTGGAAAGAGTGCAGGGAAGAGCAACCAAGAGGACTAGGGGGCTAAAACACATGAAGAAGGAATTGGGGATGGCTAGTTTAGTGAAAAGAAGGACTAGGGGTGACATGAGAGCATCTTCCGATATTTGAGGGCCTCCTACAAAGAGGCCTCAACGTATTCTCCAAAGCACCAGGAGGGCAGGACAAGTAGCGGATGTGAACTAATCTAGAACCAAGGAGAAATTCCCTGACAGGGAGGACAATTAATCGGTGGAACGACTTGCCACCAGAAGTTGTGGGTTCTCCATCATTGGAGGCCTTCAAGAAGACACTGGACAGCCATTCGTCTGAAATGGCAGAGGGCAGTGTTTCTCAACCGTGGAAGCTTGAAGATGGGTGGACTTCAACTCCCAGAACCCCCCAGCCAGCGCTGCTAGCTGGGGGATTCTGGGAGTTGAAGTCCACCCATCTTCAAGCTACCAAGGTTGAGAAACCCTGGCCTAGGGTCTCCTGCTTGAGTTCCTGCTCCATCAGTGGAGGCTTTCAGGAAGTGATTAGACATCTCATAGTAGAGGGTCTCCTGCTTGAGCAGAGGGTTGGACTAGAGGACCTCCAAGGTCCCTCCCAACTCCCTCCTTCTGTTCTGAAGGTCCTCAGGAGTGGAGGAGCTGGGGGTCCAGCTGAGGCCCTCTTGAATTGACTCCTCTGGGTGAGTGGGGTGGGGTCTCTGCCAAGTAGGGTCCCTTGCTGCTTGTGAGGTGTGGTGGCCCCTGACCAGGAAGAGGGCCTTCTCTTGGGGGCTGGGAATCCCCACAGTGGCCATCTTGCCTCTTTTCCTGCCCTCTGTGTGTGGCTCCCCCATAGAGACCCTTCCTCTCTCTCTCTGTGAAGTGCAACCTTTGCCTGTTCTCCATGGCTGACCCTTCTCCTATTTTCTTGGACAGCTGGATAAAGATTGTTCCGGAATCTATTCGGCACAACAACAGCCCCCGATTTTTAGCATCCGGTGTGAGGACATTAATCAAGAGGTAATTTTTGTTTCTAATTCCTTTTCCTTAAATTAGGAAGGCATCCCAGGCAGTCCTCGACTTAGGACGTTTCATTTAGTGACCGTTACATCACTAAAGTTATGACAGCCCTGAAAAAGAGACTTGGGACCGCTTTTCACACTTACGACCGTTAGCAGAATCCCCATAGTCATGTGATCAAAATTCAGATACTTGGCAACTGACTCATACTTATGACAGTGTCCCAGGGTCATGCGATCCCCTTTTGCAACCTATTGACAAGACAATGAGAAAGCCAGATTCAGTTAGCAACCGGATTATTAATTAATCAACTTCAGGGATTCACTTAACAACTGTGGCAAGAAAGATAGTAAAATGGAGCAAAACTCACTTAACAATTGTCTCACTTAACAAACAGAAATTTTGGGCTCAATTGTGTTCGTAAATCAAGTTTTACTTGTATATTGCTATATAACTGTAATATAATTATAATATAATAATGTAAGGTAATAAACATGATATATTGGGAGAATATAATTGTGTTGCATCCACCTAAAATCTACTCAAAATCCTTTGTGTGGCAATTAATCAACATTTTTTAACATCTTTACCGCTGAATGCACTAAGTCATCACGTCTTTGCGAAACAATGGTGCGTTCAGGACACTGTCAATCCAGCTCCTGTGCTTTGCAAACCATGATTGATGGCTAGATCAAAGCTTCCCATCAGTGATCAGTCATGGTCTATAACAAACCAACACGTGACCAGAATACAGGCAACTCAGCCCTTCCACCCCAGTTTCCGATTCTATCAAAGGTCTGTTTGGGGTCAGGTGTAAATATTATTTATCTTCCAACGATCTTTTTCTCTAAAATTGTTGTTATCCTACATAACCAATCTGGTGTTCTTCGATTAGATTAAATTAAATATGCATTTACCTTGTTTCCCCTAAAATAAGACATCCCCTGATAATAAGCCCAATTGGGCTTTTGAGCGCATGCACTAAAATAAATCTGTCTGGGCCAAATGATTTAATTCGATTTTAGTTCTGTTTTTTAAATTTTGTATGTATGTATTTTATTGTTGACTGTTCACCGCCCTGAGTCCTTCGGGAGAAGGGCGGTATACAAATTAAATACAAATTAAAAAAAATAAAAAATAAACCCTCCCCGAAAATAAGCCCTCCCCAAAAATATTTAAATGCATGCACAGCTGGTCCCCGCCATTTCCTCTGATTTCGTCTACACACCCCAAAATAATAAGACCTCCCCGAAAATAAGGCCAAGCGCTTATTTTGGGGTTCAAAAAAATATAAGACAGGGTCTTGTTTTTGGGGAAACATGGTAATATGTGCCTATATTCAGTCTGGGGGTGTTTAGATGAGTGTTTTTCAAAGCCAAAACACTTGAAGACGGCTGGACTTCCACTCCCAGAATACCCCAGCCGGTATGCTTTAAGGCAGGTGGACTTCAACTCCCAGAATTCCTTAGTCAGCATCCATCTTACGTCCACCCATCTTAAAGTAGCCAAGTTTCCTTTTTTAAAAAAATAATAATTAAAAATTGGTTTAGATAACAAAATCTGTGGTTACTTATCTTAAAGAGAAATGGACTTCAACTCCCAGAATTCCCTAGCCAGCATGAATTCTGGGAGTTGAATTCCACCCGTCTTAAAGTGATGAAGTTTTTTAAAAAACGGCTGTATACTGTACAGCAGGATCTTCAAATCTTGGCCACTTTAAGACAGGTGGACTTCAATTCCCAGAATCCCCCAGCCAGCATGAATTCTGGGAATTGAAGTCCACCTGTCTTAAAGTGGCCGACTTAGGGAAACTCTGCTCTATAGGTATTTTAAGAGAGGGCCTGAATGGAAATTCCCCCAGTTGATTTCATGAAATCTTCTTGATTCAGCTGAACCGGATCACCAGAATTCGCTGGAGGAGAGTCGCAAAGATTGCAGGTCGTGTGGCCCTCGCCCTGATTGGCAGATAGGGGGGTGTTGAGAGGGGATATCCCTTCCATTCCTGAGATCTCTGACAGCTTCAAGACTTTGCTTGCATCTTACTAATTCCATGTGATTTTTTTTTACCTCTTGTTTTGATACGTTCCGAATTGCATAATAAAATCTCATTTGGACCACAGTCTTTTCATTTTTATTTTTACTTTGGAAGGAAACGCTTTTGATGGTAAAGATGAGAAAGAAAGAGAAAAGGAAGAAAGAAAAGGAGAAGGGGAAAGGGGAAAGGGAGGGAGGAAGGGAGGGAGAGATAGGGGAGAGAGAAAGAAAGGAGAGAAAGAGAGAGAGAGAGAGAGAAAGAAAAAAGAAAGAAAGAAGGAGGAGGGAGGGAGGAAGGAAGGAAAGGTGACTTATAAGCAATAATCATATTATGACTATACTGTAAGAAAATCTCCACGTTCGTGTGATCCAAATTTGGACACTTGGCAAACGGTATGTATTTACGGTCCATATTTGTGATCTTCTCAACTGGCCTCTGACAATTGCAGTCAATAGGGGAAGCTAAATTCACTTAACAATCACCTGATTCCCTTCAAGCAGGTCATAAAATGGAGTACAGTCTTGTGATGACTCACTTAACAACTGCCACACTTAGGGATGGACCTCCCGGTCCAATTGTGGTCATCAGTGGAGGTCTACCTGTATCTCCCTGAACAGTCTCAATATTGGATGGATTCCAGGAGACCAACTGAAACTTCTCTAGAACTTCTTCAGTGGCAGTGTAGACAGATTGACCTACTGTTGCATGGTGTCCAGGCATAGGAGGTGAAGAGTTTGCAGGGACCTCTTTCTGATTTGATCCTCGGTGGGAGGGGGGGATCATGGCTTCACCTTGGGTTAGGAACATGGTTTCTTCTAAGCTTATGGAATTTGAGAAGATGGAGAGAAGGTTTCTGGAAGTATCTGGGCCTGTGGGCCAGAGCTTTACCTCCCTGCCTCTTTGACCATCCAGTCATCAGTCATATCAGCCAGTTGGGATGAGTTGATGGTGGCCTAACCCAGGACAAGGTCTTAGGTCTTCTCCTCTGAAGAAAATGTTCTGTTGAAGATCTCCTTTCCATCATATTTGGCCAACTTTTGAACTTCCTTCTTGAGGGGCGCTGTTTGCAAAAGGGATGTGTTGGGCAACCCAGAGTTGGGTTCAGAGATCTGAAGTAGGAAATGATCGGTTTCTCCATCCAGGGTGTGGGGACGTCCCAGGAACTCTGTTTTGGCTGCTCCTGGTGTTGCGTTCTTCACCGCTGAGATCTGTTAAGGTCACCTTGGTCTGTTCCAGTTATGAAGCACTGTTGTGGCTCCGTTACCTGAGCCTGTGTCATCGGCAGGAGAGGACTCCGAGAGGAAAGGAGAGGAGTTGGCAAGGCCTCCCTCTCCAGGACCCTCCTCTCTGGCAATGCCTTCGGTGTCCGCCGAAGGGCAAGAGATAGGGCCGGGGCCAAGCACGTCCACGCAGCCACAGGTGGACAGTGATGAGGGTGATGAGTCTTGGCTGGATCCTCGGCAGCGTCGCAGAGATAAGCGCGCGCAACAGAAGAAAAGGCGTGCCAGAGATTAGGCTGAGTCACTGGACCTCACCCCACAAGGTATAAAAGGGAGCGTGGTGGCCATTCAGACTCTGTGACGGACAAAACTAACTACTATCGAGTCACACTGCATCTTTGGAAACAACATTATCGGCCTTGGATTTATTTTACGAACTGGACAATCCCTGACTGTGTGTATTTTGTTTATTGAGTAAAAGTTCTTGGCAAGCAGCTACTGGGTTGCTGCCAAGCATCTTATCGGAAGAATTGGTTGTCTGCCAGTTTATTTAACCCCCGGCTGTCTGTTTGTGTGCGTGTGTGAGATGGGGACAGAACAAGCACCTTCTGTTCACCCAGCCCAGTTTTTGCCAAGGACATGATTTAAGGAGCTGCACCAGGAATGGAGAAGTTGACCTGACGAAGGATTGGGTCATTCTTGGCCTTGGGGGCTGACCATCAATCACCCTGCCTTGGCCATCAAGAGATGGAGGTGGTGGCAAGAACAGACACCCTGAGCTTCAGTGGACAGTGGGGTCCGGCCAGACTTTAGGGAGCCTTTGACAGATCTGATATGAGATCCTTACATAAGTCCTCATCTTACGACCACAACTGAGCCCAAGATTTTGGTTGCTAAGTGAGACATTTGTTAACTGTGTTTTGCCCCATTTGATGACATTTGTTGCCAAAGCTGTTAAGCGAATCAAAGCTGTAGTTGTTAAGTGAGTTACACGGCCGTTAAGTGGTTCTGGCTTCCCCCTTGCCTTTGCTTGTCAGATGGTCGCAACAGGGGATCATGTGATGCTGCGACCGTCATAAATATGAGTCAGTGGCTGAGCATCCGGATTCTGATCACGTGACCATGGGAGGCTGCGATGGTTGTAAGTGTGGGAAAACAGTCAGGTCCCCTTTTTTTCAGGGCCGTGGTAGCTTCGGAAATGAACTGTTGTAAGTGGAGGACCCCGTGTGTCTTCAAGGGTGCCGGATCTGTGTTGTGAAATCGTGTTTTGTTGCTAAGATGATTTTCATGTTCTAGTTACATCACAATTAATTTTGCAACAGGGAAGGGAAAGAGAAAGAGAGAGAGGGAGGGAGGAAGTGAAAAGAAGATAGGAAGGAAGGAAGTGGAAGGAAAGAAGGGAGGGAGGGAGGAAGGAAGGAGAGAAGAATATTTATTTATTTTTATTTTATAGAATATAGATGCGTAGGATAGAAGGGACCTTAGAGGTCTTCTAGTCCAACCCCTGGCTCAAGGCAGAGACCTTACAGCATCCTTGTCCTGTCTATTTTTGAAAGGAGGGAGGGAGGGAAAGAAAGAGTGAATGAGAAAGAAACAGAAAGAGAGAGAGAGAGGAAAGGAAGAAAAAAGAGAAAGATAATAAGAAAGAAAGAGGGAGGGAGGGAGGAAAGAAGGAAGAAAAAGAGAGAAAGGAAGGAGAAAAAGAGAAAGAGAAAGAGAAAGGAGAGAGGGAGGAAGGGAGGAAAGAAGAAAAAGAAAGACAATAAGAAAAAAAGAAAGAGAGAGAGAGGGAGGGAGGAAAAAAGGAAGAAAAAGAGAGAAAGGAAGGAAGAAAGAAAAAGAAAGAAAGAAAGAAAGAGGGAGGGAGAGAGGAAGGGAGGGAGAGAGGGAGAAAGGGAGGAAAGAAGGAAAGAAAAGAGAGAGGAAGGAAGGAAGGAAGAAAAAGAAAGAAAGAATGAAAAAGAGAAAGAAAATAAGAAAGGAAGGAAGGAAGACAGAGAGAGGAAGGGAGGGAGAGAGGGAGAAAGGAAGGAAAGGAGGAAAGAAAAGAGAAAAAGGAAAGAAGGAAGGAAGGGAGAGAGAGAGAAAGAAAGAAAGAAAGAAAGAAAGAAAGAAAGAAAGAAAGAAAGAAAGAAAGAAAGAAAGAAAGAAAGAAAGAAAGAATCAGATCTATGACATGGGAACTCTATACCTAACCATCCCAGATTCGTCCCAAATGCTGCTTCCTATCCTGCTTATTGCGAGACTTTCTCAGCCTACCCCCACCCAAAAAGCAGAAGTCCGTAACCCCCTTCTCTCCCCCCTCCCCCCCCGCTTCCTTCTCCGGTCCGTGCCCCCTCCTCTGAGCAAACACCCCTTTCTGGAAATCCACCCACCCTGTGGTGTGGGGTTTTTTTGTGTGTGTTTTAGCTGAGTCAGCCAATGAGAAATCACGAGAGGGTCCAGGGAAGGGCTGGGGAGGGGGGAGGGTGTTTATAAAAAGGCAGGGGGAAAGTGGCTGGAGGTCACTTGTGCCACGGCACCCCAAGATCTCCACAGCATGCAGACCAGCTCGGCCAGGCTCCTGCTGATGCTCGGCCTTGCACTGAGCATCACCAGTCGGACTGCGGAGGGAGAGACCCCCAGCGACCAGGATGCCCTTTCCACAGCGGTCGAGCTGTATAATCGGAACTCGGGACTGGATTCTGCCTTCCGGCTGTTGCAAGTCAAATCTCCGCCAGCTGGGGTAAGTTTGAAACCCCCATCCCCATCCCCCTAAATTTGGGACCCCCGTTTTCTGACCTAGATATTCAGCTAGCCCAGCCCAGCCCAGTCCCAAACATCTGCATCGCGGAATGGCTGGAATTTACAGGCAGTCCTCAATTTACGACCGTAATGATTTTCAGGGGTGGGAAAGGTCATTAAGCAAGTTGGTTGAGCTGCATTTGTGGGGAAGGTGATTAAGCGGGTTGAGGGCCCCATTTTTCCCGGGGGGGGGGGTGCAGCGGCCGTTAAGCAAATAATATGGTCGTTAAGTGAATCCAATTTTCCCAGAAACGGGCAGAAAACATCAAAAATTAACAGTCCGGCAATGGTAACCGTCGTAAATGTGAATCAGTTGCCAAGCACCCCCCAGTCTGCAGGGTGTGAGATTTGACAGTCAGAGCTTAGGAGATGCGTTATAAGTAGCTCTGGGGAGATCGGACGTAATTCAGAACGGTCACTAAGCAAGCGGTCGCTAAACAAGGACTACTTGCTTTTTTCCCCTCTGCTGGGGTTGTTTGGCTCCAGGAACCTTCGAATCCAGATCTTCAGGAGCTGGAACTGATCCTGAAGGAGACCACGTGTCCAAATTCCGGGGATTTGAACCTGGACAATTGTGACTTTAAGGAAGACGGGGTAAGTTTTCTTGTCTTGTTTCTCTCCAAACGGCCAACCGGAAAAAAAATAAACAATTCAACACAAAATTGTCTTGCACAATTCTGTAAGTGACGCTTCCTCTTTCATTGCTGCCCTCTTCGTTTTGGGGGGGGAGAACCTCAAGAAAATCACGCTGGGGGTGGAGAAACCCCCCCCCTCCCTCTCTCTACAGTCAGTCCTCGACTTACAACCACAGGGTGAGTTTTTCCCCGTTTTTTTTCAACCTTTCTAGCCACAGTTGTTAAGTGAACCACTGCAGTTATGAAGTTAGTAACGTCGTTGTTAGTAAATGAATCCCTGCAGTTGTTAAGTTAGTAACGTGGTCGCTAAGTGAATCTGGCTTCCCCCGTTGACTTTGCTGGTCAGAAGGTCGCAAAAGGGGATTGTATGACACCTTCCCCAGGACACTGCGACTGTCGTAAATATGAGTTGGTTGCCGAGTTCCTGAACTCTGATCACGTGACCCTGGGGATGCTGCGGTGGTCGTAAGTGTGAAAAACGGTCATAAGTCCCTTTTTTCAGCGACGTTGTAACTTTGAACGGTCACTAAATGAACGGTTGTAAGCCGAGGACTGTCTGTACTTCTTTAATTTTTATTTATTATATTTAAGATCTGATACTTTTGACTTGGGAATGGACAGAGAATTAAGTTCTTAAGTTTGGAGCAGATACAGGGAGCCCTTGACTTATGACCATTCGTTTAGTGACTATTCAAACAGCCCTGAAAAAAGTGACTTATTCCTAATCCTCACACTTATGACCATTACAGCATCCCCACGGTTGACTTGATCAACATTTGCTTGCTTTGCAACTGGCGTGTAAAGTAGTCCTTGCCTTATAACCATTCATTTAGTGACCATTCTAAGTTACAACACCACAGAAAAAGAAAGAGACTTATTTTTCACAGTTATGACCATTGCAGCATCCCCATGTTCATGTGATCAAAATTCAGACGCTTGGCAGCTGACTCGCATTTATGACCGTCACAGTATGCCGGGGTCATGTGAGCCCCTTTTGCGACCTGACAACTCCATGGGGAAAGCCGGATTCATTTAACAACTAAAAGCTGCAGAGATTCACAACTTGTGGCTAGAAAGGCTGTAAAACAGGGCGAAGCTCCACTTAACAACTGCCTTGCTTAGCAACATAAATTCTTGCCTGAATTATCATCGTAAGTTGAGGACTGCCTATATTTACCATGGTGGCAGCGTCCCAGGGTCACGAGATCACCAAACTTCGGGCAAAGTCAATGGCGAGAGCTGGACTCGCTTCATGGCCGTGTGAGTCACTTAACAAATGTGGTGATTCACTTAACAACGGTGGCCCAAAAAATCTTCGTGAAACTGGATTCTACTCATCTTTAACAACTGCTTTGCTTAGCAATTCTGGCCCACATCGTAAGGCAAGGACTACCTGTAATGGCGATCCAAAGTGGATCAACTGACTCCCAAATAAGTAAGTTCTTGTGTGCTGTGATTGTGTGGTGTTGTGGTGAAAAGGAATTGGACGGAGAGTCCCAGAGTCAGGGGTGAAATGCTCCCGGTTCCGACCGGCTCGGGCGAGTAGGTAGTGATGGCGGCGGGCAGTTCGGAGAACCGGTAGCAAAAATCCCTGCCCCCGCCCTCCATGCTCAGCTGAGCCGCGCAATCATCAGAGCCTTTTTTTCCTTTTATTTATTTATTTATTTATTTATTTTATTCGATTTCTATACCGCCCTACTCCCAAAGGACTCAGGGCAGTGCACAGCCAAACAATAAAACACATCCATACAAAATTTAAAAGTAGAATAAAATCAAATTAAATAATTTTGGCCCCGACAAATTTAAAACCCCGAACTATTTAAAACCAATTTTAAAATTGAATGTATAAAATACTAAAAGATATTTAAAAATTAAAAATCTTTTATAAAAGAGGGGGAAAATTAGGCCAGGCCGGCCTGGTGAAATAATAAGGTCTTTAAGGTGCGGCGGAAGGTGCGCAGATCCGGGATCCTCCGTATCTCTGGGGGGAGCTCGTTCCAGATAGTAGGTGCCCCCACAGAGAAGGCTCTCCCCCTGGGGGCCGCCAGTCGGCATTGTTTGGCCGACGGCACCCGGAGGAGCCCCTCTCTATGGGAGCGTACCGGCCGGTGGGAGGCTATTGGTGGTAGTAGGCGGTCCCGCAAGTACCCAGGTCCTAAGCCATGGAGCGCTTTAAAGGTGGTAACCAAAACCTTGAAGCGCACCCGGAAGACCACCGGGAGCCAGTGCAGCTCGCGCAGGAGAGGTGTTACATGGGAACGCCATGTCGCTCCCATTACTACCCGCGCGGCCGCATTCTGGACCAGCTGGAGCCTCTGGGTGCTCTTCAAGGGGAGCCCCATGTAGAGAGCATTGCAGTAGTCCAGACGAGAAGTAACGAGGGCATGAGTGACTGTGTGTAACGAGTTACGATCCAGAAAGGGACGCAACTGGCGAATCAGGCAAACCTGATGAAAAATCCTCCCCGTCACGGCCGTCAAGTGCTTTTCTAAAGATAGCCGTGAATCCAGGAGGACGCCCAAGTTGTGTGCCCTTTCCGTGGGGGCCAATGATTCGCCCCCAATAGTCAGTGATGGCACCAACTGACTATATCGGGACGTCGGAAACCACAGCCACTCGGTCTTGGATGGGTTGAGTCTGAGCCTGTTCCTCCCCATCCAGATCTGCACGGCCTCCAGGCACCGGGACATCACTTCAAGGGCATCGTTGGGGTGGTCCGGGGTGGAGATGCACAGCTAGGTGTCGTCAGCGTACTGGTGGTACTTCACCCCAAAACCACGGATGATCTCGCCCAGCGGCTTCACATAAATGTTGAACAGGAGGGGCGAGAGGACCGACCCTTGCAGCACCCCACATATGAGGGGCCTCGGGGTTGACCTCTGCCCCCCTGTCAACACAGACTGCGACCGGTCAGAGAGAAAGGAGGAGAACCACTGCAACACAGTCCCTCCCACCCCTAACTCTTCCAGCCAGTGCAGCATGATACCATTGTCGATGGTATCAAAAGCCGCTGAGAGATCTAACAGGACCAGGACAGAGGAGCACCCCCTGTCCCGAGCCCTCCAGAGATCATCTACCAACGCAACCAATGCCGTTTCTGTGCTGTACCCGGGCCTGAAGCCCGGAAAGGATCTAGATACGTCGTTTCATCCAGGTGCTGGGGGAGCTGTTGCACGACCACACTCTCAACAACCTTCGCAACGAAGCGAAGGGTGGAGACCGGACGATAATTTACCAACATTGCCGGGTCCAGGGAAGGCTTCTTGAGGAGAGGCCTCACCACCGCCTCTTTCAAGGCGGCGGGAAAGTCACCCTCACCCAGCGAAGCATTTATAATCCCCTGGAGCCAGCCTCGCGTCACCTCCGGGGAAGCCAGCACTAACCAGGAAGGACACGGGTCCAATAAACAAGTGGTCGCATTCAGTCTGCCCAGAATCCTGTCCACGTCCTCAGGGGTCACAGGATCAAACTCATCCCAGATAACATTCTCAAGACCTGCCTCTGTCTCTCCCCCTGAGACTATCCAGTCGGAGTCCAGATCTTCCCGAATCTGAGTGATTTTGTCATACAGATACTGAACAAAATCCTCGGTTCTACCCTCCAAGGGGTCCTCCCGCGCTTCCTGATGGAGCAGGGAGCGGGTCACCCTAAAGAGGGCGGCCGGGCGGTTATCTGATGACGCAATAAGAGCAGCAAAATAACTACATTTCGCTGCTTTTATCGCCACTAGGTAATTCCTAATGTGGGATCTTACTAGTGTCCGGTCAGATTCAGAAAGACTGGCCCTCCAACTACTCTCTAGGCATCTTTTCCGGCGCTTCAACTCCCTCAGCTCCTCGGTAAACCAAGGAGCCAATTGAGATCGGCGCCGGGTCAGAGGCCACAAAGGCACGACCCGATCCAGAGCTCCAGCAGCCGCCCTATCCCAGGCGGCCACCAGGTCTCCAGTCGAGGCGTGTGCCAGAACCTCAGGAAATGGCCCAAGCTCCGTCTGGAATCTGTCAGGTTCCATCAGGCGCCTGGGGCGGAACCATCTTACCAGCTCCGCCTCCCTGCGGCGGGTGCAGCGGTTCGAAAGTCAAGACGAAGGAGAGAGTGATCTGACGATGACTATATCCCCTATCTCAAGATCCCTCAACCACTGTCCAGAGACAAAAACCAGATCCAGCGTGTTTCCCCCTGTGTGGGTAGGGCCATGTATTAACTGGGTCAGGTCCATAGCTGTCATGGAAGCCATGAACTCACGAGCCATCTCAGACATCTCACCCACGGACGGCAGGTTGAAATCCTCCATGACCATAAGCCTAGGTGTATCAACCGCCACCGTGGCGATGACGTTGAGTAGCTCGGGCAGGGCTGTTGCCACGTGGCAGGGAGCCAGGTACGTGATCAGCAAACCCATCTGAACCCCATGACCCCATTTCACAAAAAGGGATTCACAGCCGGCCGTCTGAGGAACAGTGACCTCCCTCGGTCTCAGACCTTCTTTAATGATAACCGCTACCCCCCCGCCCCTCCCCTGTGACCTCGGCTGATGGAATGCTTGGAAACCTGGCGGGCACATTTCAACGAGGGGAACCCCCTCCTCCTGGCCCAACCAGGTCTCCGTAACACCTGCCAGGTCCGCACCCCCCTCCTGAACAAGATCACAAATGAGGGGGGCTTTATTTACTACGGACCTGGCATTGCACAGCATCAGCCGAAGGCCTGGGTCCTGAGGAGCGAGTAGAGCCTTGGGGGCCGGAGCATGCCACCGCTCGTAGACAGCGAGTGCGCACTCCCCTAACACAATATGGCCCCCTGCTCCCGCCATATCTACCCCTCCCATCCACAGTATTGATGTTCAAAAAACCATCCGGACAAGCTCTAACCCCCCCTCCTCAATCCCGGGTCCCCCACCCCCCACACCATGCTTCACTGCAAGACCCGACCCTCCCCCTTGTGGGTTATCCCCCATACCCACAGCCCGAATTCCAATCTGACCCTCCCCCTCCCTGGGACCCCTTAAAAATTTGACTAAAAATTTCGATAGAAAACCCCTCAATCCCCTCGTTTTCACATGCCACCTCTCTGGGTCCCAAAACCCGTCCTTGAGGTGGGCCCTCGATAGTGAGGAGGGCCACATCTGCGAGAAGGGGGAATCTCGCAGCGCAAGAAAATCTGCAGTCGTATACATCTCCAAAATGCAGCGATGGAGGCCCGAAGCTCAGACAGGGGACTTCACAAAAGATGTAACACAGCCATTTGTTCACCGATGTGCTGTTGGTATCTCTACTGTCCTCCCACAACAGCAGGAGGGTCCTAAATTATCTCCTCCAATGGGGGCGACCTCCGGCCCGCCCTCTCACGGCGGAACCCCCAAGGGGCCGTAGATTGAAAAAGTTCTCCCACAGACAAGAGTCATGATGTAATAGAGGACCCCTCAACAGTTGCATCAGTTTGGCTGACCATGGTCGGAGGAAAGATTTATCAGTCTATCAGTCAGTCTATGAGTCACGCCAGGGGCGAAGATGGAAAATCCTTGGCAAAGTCTTGAACTCAAGGTCACATTCGAGTAAGTCCCGATGAAAAAGGGAAAGAAGGGAAGGGGAAGAAGGAAGAGGGGAAGAAAAGGGAGGGGAGAGAGAAAATTCCCTCAATCAGGGCAAATGATAAGCCCATTTAGGCGGACACAGTACCCGGGAGGGGGAGGAGAAAAAGGGCTGGTATCTATGCGACGGAAAACTCCTCCGTCGCCCCCCAGCCCTACTTTCCTCAGATAGTTCAGTTCTT